ATTTGGTAGGGCCAAATCCAGTACTATGGTCAGGGCTTTTTTCAGTCTCTCAAAGGCTTGTGTAACTGCCTCTCCTCACAAGAAATTGTCCTTCTTTAGTTGCTCATCAATGGCCAGGCTATGACGCTGTATCCTCTCACGAATCTTCTGTAGTACCCCATCAAACCTAGGAACCCCCTCAGTTCTCTCAGATTTTTAGGTAGAAGTTATTTCTGCATTGCCTCAATCTTGGCCTGATCTGCAGCCGCCCCCTTTTGGGAGACAACGTACCCCAAGTATTCCATACTGGTCTATGTAAAGCAGCACTTTTTTAGGTTGTCCCTCAGTTGATGCTTCTATAATACTTCCAAGACCACCCTCACATGCTCCAAGTGCTCCCCTATTGACTTGCTGTAAACTAGTATGTTATCAAAGAAGATCAGTATGAGCTTTTAGAGATATGGTTTGAACACCCTATTCATGAACTACTGGAAAGTGGTAGGGGCGTTTATGAGCTCGAATAGCATCACTAAGAACTCATAATGCCCATAATGTGTCCTGAAAGTAGTCTTTAGGACATCCTCTTCCCTCATCTTGATTTGAGGGTATCCAAACTTCAGATCCATCTTAGTGAACACCACACACTCATCCAATAACTCATCGATCACTGGTATATGAAACTTATCTAGCACAGTCTTCTTATTCAGAGCCCAATAATCAACACATAATCTCTAGCTCCCATCCTTCTTTTTGACCAGTAAGACTGGGCTAGAAGGACTCACACTTGGTCTGATAATCCCCGCCTCCAACTCCCCTCGGATCAGCTTCTCAATCTCGTCCTTCGAGGGTAACGGTAGTGTCAGACACTAATTGGTGACACCCATCCCTTAGGGTAATGGCATGCTCCTATTCCTTTAGTGGTGGTAAGCCTTGAGGTGGCTTAAAAACTTCGCCAAACTATTATATGAGTGGCTGTACTGACAGAGGAATCCCCCCCCCTCCTCCTCTAGTTTGTTCCCTTCTAGGCTCTATAGTTTCATTAGAAATCCTCCTCCCACTTGTATATTTATGACCATGGTTTTGAGAGATATCATGACCTTGGAAAACTCTGCACCCCCTGGATCAACACTCTTCTTTCTTCTAGCATCAGCTTCATCGTTAGTGCTCCCCAATTGACCCTGGTATCTCTCAAGGTCTGCAGCCATTTCATCCCCAGGATGATATCAGTGTTCCCTAGCTCTAATGAGAGAAAATCCTCTCTCACTTGAAACTCCTGGTAGTCTGCACAACTGCCCTACACAGTTTTCTCTACCTATCTCCACCTTTCCAGTGTTCATCATCATCATCCCATTGCCTCATGTGTCCACCAATTTCACCCAAAACTGGTCAACGACCTAATTAGAGATAAAATTGTGATTAGTCCCACTGTCGATCAACACAACCACCTCTTTGTCTGTTATTTCTCCTTTCACCTTCATGGTGTGATTCGAGGTAAACCCCATCACTGAGTTTAATGTGACTTCGGCCATGTCAAGATGTAACTCTTCCCCCTCTTCCACCACTGCCCCACTATCATCTCTTTCCTCAACTTCCTCGTCATTACAGATGGTGAGAACTTGATGAATTCGGTCCTTACACCTATGCCTTGGTATGTACCGCTCATCACATCTGGAACACAATCCCTTCTCTTGTTTCTCCTGCAGATTGTTCTCAGTGAGTTTCTTGAAATTTCCCCCAAATCACCCTCCTACAGGCTTCTCTTTTGGAGCCTTGCTAAGGTTTCCCGGTGCTGGTCCTTTAGAAGCCAGAAATGTTGTGGTCATCCTGTACGAGCCTCTTGAACGGCTGCCTCTGGCCCTCCTTTCCAGGTGCTTTTGGTCTTCTACTAACTGTGCTAGCTCCATAGCCTCTCCTAAGCCCAAGACCTCATCACTCTAACCACTTCTCAAATCTTTGGTTTTAGTCCCTTCATGAAGTTTCCCTCTAACACCGTCTCTGAAAGGCGGTTCAATGGTTAGCGAGGTACTTGAACCTCTCCCAATACTCTACTACTTAACCCTCCTGTGTCAGGGAAAAATTGTTCGTAGAAGTCATCTCCTATGCTGGTTTGAAAACATTCCAACAAGCAATTCTTGAACTCCCTCTAGCTCCGTATGGGTCATGTCCCTCAACTGGTACCAAGCCAATGCCTTCCCCTCCAAACATAGGCCCGCTGACGTCAGCCTCTCATCCTCCGTCAAGCCGTTGACAACAAAATACCTCTTCACTTTGTAAATCCACCCATGTGCATCATCTTCCTCAAAGATGGACATCTTCAGCTTCCTCACTCTCAGATCGCCTCCATTTCCTCTGAATCCTTCATAGCTTCCCATTTCACGAAGGGGAGGTGCTCCCCAGGTGTCGCGATCCTCCCTTTTCACTCGTACCCAAATCCTTCTTCAAAATCCCTCCTCTCAAAATCAGCAACCCTGCACTCATAATCCACCTCACTTCTTACAAAATCAGCACCTCTTCGCTCATACCCAATACTCATCTCCTCCCTAAAAATAGGCTATAGCGAAGGCATCCCCTCTTCTCCCTCCAGAATCTCCACCTCTTGATTTTTCCCTCCCCTAAATGGATTAGGGTTTCCTCCTCTTCCTTGGCTGTCGATGATTTACTTATTTTCTAATGTCGTCGTATTGGGTTTGACTTCAAGCAACTTCTTATGCATTTCTTTCATGACGGCAAACTTTCCATCCATCTTTTTATAGATGGATGCAAATTGGTTTTCAAAATCCAATTTTTTTTTTTTTCATAAAATTTGATTTCGGTTGGCCTATTTCCCCCTCCAACACTTTCACTTTCTTTCAGGCCATTGGTACCTTAGATGAAAGTGCTCTGATACCAATTTGTTATAAAACACTTGTAGTAAACAAGAATTCCCTTTTGCTGAAATTTAATTTTAGCACTTTGCAAAACATGAATTGAGAAAATCTTGAAAGAAAAACCAAAATTGGATCTTTTAATTAAATAGATGAAGAAAAGCAACACGATACAATGGATCTTTTATTGGAGAGGAAGATCCGGATCTCCCAACTCTAGACGCCGCCAGACCCCACTTAAGAACACAAGAACCCTAATTTCAACAAAAATCAGAGATAAAAACTAACTCTAGCCTCCAAAATCTACTTAAGCATAAAATAATTAGGTCAAATCCCAAAAAAGCCCCTTCAATTTAAATTTTTCCCTCCTAATTCCTCCCAAATCCCCCCACATTACTCTTGTGGGCCCTAAATGGGTTGGGCTGTAATGGAGGGGGAAAAAACCCCTTGTTCCAGCGGCTGTATAGTTGGACCGGTCTTGATTGGGCCGGCTCGACCGGTCTAGGTATCGGTCTATCAGCTTGTTTAGTAGAGACTACGCCAAGACTAGGCCAAGCAACCTAGTTTGGGTTGGTTTTGGCCAGTCATGAAATATGTGATTTGGGAATGGGTCAATGGTGTCTTTAGGGTTGGAGAGGCTTGGAAGGTGTGAAGATATCATCTATAATTTTTGGTTGGGATCTATGGAGTTTGGAGTGTGGTGAACATAGGGGAATCAAACTAGGTCATGGTTTCCCTTATTTTGGCTGACAACTCTTATTAGTCATTTTTTTCCATGCTGTCGGAGATGGGAAACCTTATATAAAGTAGTTAGATATGTTGGGGAAGGAGTATGAGAGTTTGCGGAAAGAGATCAGCGAGAGATGAGGGTAATACCTAGGTCTTTCACCAAGATGAGCCCAAAGAGGTTCCAACAAGCACACAATTAAAGGGATTTTATACACGAAGCACAAGCCCTAGAGGTTTTAGTTATCCCTTTTTTTTATCAACATCAATGCTAATTTTTTTATTCATACATTCAAATATTTAAAGCATTATATCAGATGGAATGAAATTAAAAAAGGAGGAAATATTGAAAAGAAGGAAGCTAGCAAACATGGAAGTGTAGCGAAATCATTTCCAAATCCACTCTCTATTTAAGAGGATTGCCCTAATGGCCTTAAAAATAAAGTAATTCTAATCTAAACAAAGCGAAATAAATAAATAAAAGCCTCCCACATGGAGGAAAATGATTAAAATTAAAAATTCTAATTATGAAAATTTCTGATGTGAAACAATCCCATGCGAAAATGATTTGCTCAAAGAAGTTTGCACGCTTAGGTCTAGAGGCAATAATAAGTAAAATCTTATGCGGAATTGAACGATAAGATAAAAATTAAGTGGTATTTAGCTTAGGCTAAACACATGCGAGAGGTTGAGATCATTAAATAGTTAATTAAGTCTTACTTTGCATACATGAGTGGTTTCAACGAGAAATTCCAATACTAACAATAAGATTAGTTGCTCTGAGAAGATCTCTCACACAACTCTTCCTATTACTAGGTTCTAGCGGTGAATAATTGACATGATCTTCATGAATCCATTAATAACCATAAACGAAAAGTAAACTAGGAAGATAAGAGAGTTTGGACGAAGAGTTTACCCAAAGAAAGAAGTTATCCAAGGGAATGACAAATACGGTGCTCCGGCGTAGTTGCTTATGCGTTTGAGGAAGAGTGGACAGCACTTTAGATTACGGAGCCTTCAAGATATGGCGATGGGGAACATTCTGGACAGCAAGACAGCCATAAGAGGTCATCCAAAATGACTGGCCAGCGGCTAGGGATGCCGAGACAGCAGCAAAGACGGTCGGGACAGTAATTCGGCACTTGAAATACTTCTGGACAGCAGCCCTAACAGCTTCTGAAAATCTGGGCAGCAGGTTTAACGGATTTTTCCTTCATTTTTTTTCATAAACATGAGGTATTTTAGATGATTGAACTTTGACATTGCACGTTTCTTCCCTGGAAATACTATTGCTTTGGAGTAAATAGAATTTTTCTTCATAAACTGCTCTATATTGGATAAAAAAGGAAAATTGAAATTGCTAGTTTAATATTGCTACATTCAATCCAAAGAATTCGGGATAAAGTCATTTTATTAACGGCTTTACTGCAGTCTTTTTCAGGGAAAGGCATGAAATTCACAGCATTTATGTTCGGAGTTCGGCAAGGGTTTATGAGGTATATTATGCTTCTGATAGAGACGTTTCCAGTAATGATTATTTGTGTACTGTACGTTGTGGAGCTGCTGTGCAAGAAATGACACAAGATATGTGTGAAGTGGTTCTAGCTGAAGGCACGGTACCCAATGGTATAAATGCAGATTTTCCCAGTAGTAATAGCAACAATGTTACGGAAGATGGTTGGGTAGAAGTTGAGGTTCCTGATTCACTTCCACCAGATGATAGAAGACCTGTCATGTCAAATATGTCTGTAGAAAATATTTGCCCTAAAACACAGGTATCAATGGTAGCATATTTGAAGTACTTTTGCTTCGTTTATCCTTTTCTTTTTTTAAATCGCTCTTTCTTACTAAATGTAATTTGTAGATCCAATATGAGGCCACGGCTGAGATTTCAGATGCTAGTCCTTGTATGTCTGTCACGCTTCGCTTGCTTTCACTTCAGATTAAAACTTCTATTTATATTGACGAGGTATACATATATGCTGATCCTGTTGAAGATACTGATCCAGACCCTCCAGTTAGTAACGTTGGATCAGGCTCTTTGTTGTCCATGCTTGTGCCTGGTCTCCTGCAAATTTCCAAGTCCAGAACCTCATCATCACTTCAAGATAAAGGTTTTTCTGATGTATTCTCTACCGAGGGAACAATTCATGCAGCTTGTCGGGATAAGTTTGAGATGTCAGAAGTGGAAGCATCCTCTATGATGGGAAATTCTAAGGTTGGGCTTGATCAACTACACAATGAGGAAAAGCTGGAGCATCCAGTCATGGAATCCAGTACATCCAGCAAGATGGTCAGTGATCCAGATCAGGCTTCAATAGCCAAAGCAGATGAAAATAATGGAGTTCGTGGTTGTGTAGACAACCTGTTGGAGGAATCAGCTGTCAGGCATACCCAAACAAAGCCTGGGGATGAAAAATTGATTTCGACAGATGAAGAAGGTTCAGATCAGTCAGGAATGGCTATAAATAATGATACTAATGCTCCATATGTTCGTCTTGAGAAGAACTTGGATGATCTGGTTTCAAGAATGGGAAAATTAGAGAATTTTTGCGCAAGTTTTCAGGAAAGCATACTTAAGCCACTTACTGGAATTGAGATGAGGCTCCAGAGGATGGAGGAAAAGTTAGATGCCTTTTCCAAGGCCCCTCTGCCATCTGAAACATATCCCAGTACAAGCATCTCACGCCTTTCAGCTCATTTGTCTAGTTTTGAAAATGAAGGCAGTAAATCTTCGTCTGCAGAAGCAGAATCTAGTTCTCATGAAATAAAAGCATCAGTTAATCTGTTTATGGGATCATTGCATGAATCTGAGAAGATCTCAGGTCTGGTACTCAAGGCACCTGAATTTCCTGATGATGATGATGATGACGGTAATGATGATGAGTCCAATCTTGACTATCCTGTAGATTTGAAACCAAATAAGTACCCCGGAAATGACAAGCGTGCATCCATCGACAGTGCATTAGCTTCAGCACTAGCAGCATTTGTTGCATCAACCACTGACAAATCCTATCTACATAACTCGCATCGAATGGATGTGGCCATTGAGCAGCAAAACTGCCTCGACCATTTCTTAGATTCCACAGCTGATGCAGTACATTCAGAAGATTATAGAAATTCAGTTCCTGAATGGTTTTTAGGAGATAATAACTGTGATGTGTTGAATGAAGGCCAGGATGAAATATGTCTGAGTGAAAACTCCCGCTCTGATGTAGTCGATGCTGATAGCACCTCAGACAAATTTAATATGATTGATATTCCAGGAACAAAACTGCAGGGTAGTTGTTTATGTGATGAATCTCTGCCAGCAGATGATGATTCATCTGCTGAGATTGAGACACAGGAATCTAAAGTTTTTGTAATTAGGGCACCAGAGTTTCCAAATGAAGATGATATTCTTGACTGTGGCGAAAATTCTGAGTCCCATCCCAGCAATTACCCTAACGTGCATTCACACGCGCTTCCTCATTGTGGATCAACTCCACTAGCATTATTTCTATCCTCAAGAAAGGTTAGTCCTTCCGGAAGTATCTCAAATTCACATATTGACCAATTGGAGCTATCTTCTTCTGAAAGAAATAGCTTTTCATTATCAAGCTTCCAAGCTCAGGGAGGATCAGATGGTATGAGAACAAGTAGTCTTGAAAGCTATGTAAATGCAGCGCTCAAGTCATCTCTGGTGGGCTTCTTTTTTTCTGACCATGACACAGCCGTTATTGGAGAAGAAAATTCCAGCTTCATACGTCATAGCATGGATGATGACATTTTCATGAGCAGTAAATTGCATCCTGAATATTCTGATTCAAATGGCATGGATTCTTTCATTGGGACTTCTGCAGTCACCGGCAACAATGGTGGGCAAATTTCCGGCACCGGCGAAAGCTCTGAAAATATAGTCCAATGTCAATCTTGTGACGCTACTAGTCACATCAAATCCCTATTTGAGCCTAAGCAGATGTTGAGTTTCATTCCAGGTCTAGATGATTTACCCAGTAATGTCAAATTTTGCGCAGATAGAAATTTAAGAAGTTGGCTTCCACTTGAAATCCTGCTTTGTGAAAAACAAGCTGACTATCAACAGAATGATCAGCTTAAACTTGGGCAAGAATACTTGGTCAATAATTTGGAGTTTTCTGTCGAAAGAGGATTGAGAAGCGGATTTCCTCTTGAAGCCCAGCTGGAAGAAAATCAGAATGATCATGTGGCGAGTAGTGATTATGGTAATGGTGAGTATAGTAAGCAACACAATTCCCCACCAGCCCAGAGCTTCAAACCAAACAGTGAAATAGCTGACAATACTTTATTCGATATTGAAGATAATTCTGTCCAGTCTGAGATTTATAATGTGGTGACGCCTGGTACTACTACACACTATCCAAATCTTTTCTCGAGCCTCATATGATATCTAACTCCGCTAGAGCACCTGTTGTAAATACTAACATTATGATGCTTTCCTCTGTTTTGTATATGTTGGGTGTGAAGCCTTAGGCTTCGTTTGGGGCTGCTTTTTTACTGCTGCTTAAAGCAACTTTTTAGTTAAAAAATTAAAAATTTTCTACTAGAATGCTGCTTTAAGAAGCAGTAAAAAAGCCGTCCCAATCGAAACCTTATTCTCGACAGTTAGATTCCCTGTTCTGCCATGTGGATTATAGGTTTGGATCTGAAATAAGTCTTCTGCTGCAGAAATAAAGCTTCATACCTTCCAATATCTGAGTGTTGTTAGTACTATACATTTGGTCCGCCATTCTATTCTATTCAGAAAGGAAGCTCAGGTATGTAAATATTTTGTTTTGCAAGCTGATGGTTTATATATGATAAAGCTGCCCCATTTCTTCTGCTGGCCATCTGTGTCTGTGTTGGCCAAGTCTAGCTAATGATTGTTTTGTAATCTTAATGTGTTAATAGCGTGTCATAAAATTGTTACAACTATGTTGTCGATGAAGTATTTGGTCTCTTAAATTCTGTGTATATATTGGTTACAAAATCACTGAGTAATGCTTGTTCGTTAGAATTTGCTTTATATGTTGCCTGTAAAATGTTCCTAAGTAGTCCATCTTTGCAATATTAGTTTAATTAAATTTATTTAAGATTTAATTAATCCGCTAAATTAATATTTTAGTTATCAGTTAATCACCAGCTTAATAGTTTAGTTGGTGTTATATTTGTTTATTATAGTTCTAATCATCCTTATGATTTTGTATGAAACCCTTAATTAGTTTCATTTAATTAGTCTAATTAAATTCTTTGACTTGATTAAGCCTTATGCTAATTATTACCCGTTAGTTTTATCATTAATGATTACAACAACAACAATACTTTATCCTATCGGCTAAATGAATTATTTTTCGCTGTTGTGTTCAATTAAGAGTCAAATTTATATTTAAATCTAATTAAAAATGTCATTTTTAATATTTTCTAACCAAGTTTTTTTTTATCCACCTTTACCTTTCTGAACATATGAAAGATCTAATACTATCTACTTTCCTTACTGGATTATCGGAAGGTTGATATTTTATGTGTTAAACAATTTAGGGTGACTTTCTCTAATTTTATATGCTACTAGAGCCACTCCAACCTCTTTGTGTATCTATCATTTTGCATTGTCAAAGTCAACTTATCTTTATAACATTTAATCTTTTGATTCTTTTGTAATGGCTAACATTTTTCACCATAAGCCATGCATATCTTATCACTATCCTATAAAATTTTCTCTTAAGTTTAAGGTGTTTTTTTTTTTTTGTAACACAACAAGTTTGATGCATTCTTACATTTCAATCATTCAACTTGAATTCTGTTAATAATATCCTCATATATTTTACTATAATTTTGAATAATAAACCCTGGGTCGGGATATCTAAAACTTACACTCTTTTTAATGATTTGATCATCTAATGTTATAATTTCATCACTAAATCTATTACTATTAAAATTATACTGTATTCAATTTTAGATTTACCCAAACAAAAATTTTTAGACTTTAAGATTGATCTCCATAACTTAAGATTTTCATCAACTTTTTCTTTAGTCTTATCAGTAAGAAGATTATCATCAGCTAAAGCTTACACTAATGTACACCATCATGCAAATGTCTAGTAAAACATATATGACTAAAGCTAAAAGATATGGACTTAAAGTTGATCAGTAATGTAATCCAATTGAAATAGAAAAATAAATGGTCTAATCATCTTGTATTTGAACACAAGTAATAATTGTTGAATATTTATCATTAATGATTTGAATATAAGCATTATTAATTTTTTTATTAAAACTCTCTAGGTCACTTATCATGGAACTTTATCATATGCTTTCTCTAAATCAATAAATATAAGATTCTCCTTTCTCTATACTTCTTCAAACCTTTCAACAAATGTATAACTTCCATATTAATGAATTTGATAAACATTAGTATCAAATCATAACTTATGTTCAATTATTTTCTCCCATAATTTTAATGTTGGACATATTAACTTAATTCATATGTAATTTGCACTATTATATATTACCTTTATTTTTAAAATAAGAACCAACACATTCTTTTACTATTTATCTGACACTTCTAATCTTCAATTAATATTAAAAAGTTTAGAAAGCTTAAAAATTTCTTGATCTCCTAAATATTCTCACACTTCTATTAGAATATCATCAATCTAATTATTTTTTCACATTTCATTTTTTTTTTAAATCTCTTCAACTTGGATTTTACTAATATGATAATTAAAAAAATTTATCATAATTTATGGTGCTAAAATAAGTAAAATTAATCACATTTTTACAGCAGTTATTGAAAATTTTATTGAAATATCACATCTATTTATGCTGAATATCTTTTTTAAGAAATTTATTTTTTCCCCTCTTTAGCATTTAATCTATTATATAAATCATAAAAAATCTAAATTCTTTATATCATATATTACTTTCATAGAATTCCCACGGCCCCTCTATTTTTTTTTCAATTTTTTGAGATTTTATATTTAAATTATTTTTAATAACAAAGCTTATTATTTTTTTATATTTTCTTTCATATTTTGATTTCACGGTGTTTTTCCTTTTGATTCTCTGAGCACAAGTTTGATATCACAAGTTATTTTTTGTTTATATAACATTAACTTTCTCTTGAATAACTCCAGATCTTAAATCGTAATCTTAAAAATATTTTTATTTATGTTCTTAATTCCCCTCATATAATTTTAGGCTAATATTTTATTTTATTTTTTTTACTTTTCACCCATTCATCATATATTTCTCTTAATAAATATTTTGCTAATTTGTTTATTTGAATTAGTTATTACAATTTGCCATTGATTAATTAAGTATTATTTATGATGACAAAGTAGTGGCATCCTAATTATTATTCATTTAGATTAGTTAAAGTTTCTATGCATATGTGATGTGAATAAGTTTGCCTTAACTGGATCAATAGTCTCTATCCTTTATGCACTAAGAAAGTCATCCTCAGTTTGGACGAAGCCTAAGGCTTTTTTTGGGATATCTTTATTGTTATTTTCTGAAACAACTTTTTAATATAAAAATTTTTTGAATTAGAAAATTTTGTACTAAAAAGCCGTTTTCGAAAGCAATAAAGAAGTCATCCCAAACGAAGCCTAAAGCTTCATTTAGGGCGGCTTTTCTATTGTTTTGTAAAGTTGGCGTATAAAAAGTAACTTTTTAAAGTGGTTGTAGAAAGTAGCAAAAATAATGACATAATAGAAATTGTGATTGCTGAAAAATAAACAATAAGAAAGTTGTCCCAAATGAATTCTAAGCATCTGTTTTTGTTAGTGGTCGGTGGTGACAAATTAGTTGGAATTTGTTTTTTCTGATATCAAATCACGCCACACATAAATTCATAGAAATTTTTTTTTGTACATTTAAACTATTAAGATAAATTTATACACACATCATCTATTAAGTTTTGTTTCTAAAACCCCCATCCACATGCTGAATATCTTTTTTTTTTTTTTTAATGTTGATGATATGTTTTAACTCTGTGATACTATATTTTGATTGTATTTTATAAAATAAAATCTTCATTCATATAAATAGGGTAGCTTCATAAAGTCTTCTTATTTATGAAGTCTTAAAGATTGTGCAGGGTTAAAATAAAATATATTTATTTTCTAAAAACTAGAAAGAAAAAACAAAAGTTAAACCAACTAACAATTTCGTCTTTGACCCTATCACACTAAAAATTATTACGTGCGGAGTGTGCACCGTCCGCACAAACATAAGTACCTAGAGGTACCCAACGGTACCCAGCGGTACCGAGTGCTGGTACCTAACGCAGAATAAGACTTGTGCGGACGGTTCTCCCCGTCCACACTCCCCACCTAATAATCTCTCCTATCACACACCAACTTGCAACTGCTGCTCATCTTCTTATCTTCCATAATATACCTTTAATGAGTAATAATGGTAGTACTTTCCAAAAGCATAGCAAAATGTGCTGCTTTTTTTTTTTTTTTTTGGCATTTAAGCTAATTAAGATAAAATTATATGTACATCACATATGTTAAGACTCGAATTTAATACCTCTTAATTAATAGCTAAAGTTCCAAACCAACAAATCAAGTTGAGTTGCTTAATGTGGTATGGTAGTCACTGGACCATCCGGAGGCTAATCAAGATGCGCTATGTCACCCGATGCACAACGGTACACAGTAACTGTACAAAGTAAATTGGTGATGTAGTTTGTCCTGATTGGCCTTTGAACGGCGCTCGGTGACCGCACATAATAATTTCGTGCTTTTTTGAGTGCTGAAAGTATACATATGCATGTGTGCTTAGTGTTATGATTTGCCTAAATCGAGAGAGAAGTCATGCCGGTAGTAAATAGCCATAGAACATCCTTTTGAGCAGATTATATTACTAGTTAAGATTTCAATTGAGACAAATTTTTTACTATTTTTAAAAGTAATTTTTAATTATAAAAATTTTTATTTTAAAAAAATTACTTTATAAAACAAGTGAAGCCTACGTCATTCATTACTTAAATATCAATTTCAAAAGAGCTTGATGAATTTTAAATAAACGAATTCTGTGGTGAAGATGAGTTCAAGCCCCCTTTTTCTAAGAGTTTTTTTATTTTTTAACTTGGAAAATAAGGCAATCAATAATTTGATTAACTTGGTGGTTGGTAAGCTTGAGATGCTACACCAAAATTCAATCCATCAAGCGTGGTTGATATAACTTTTAAATTTCCAAATATTCATATATTAGATTAGAAAAAATTTAAATTGACTTAGAAATAATTTAAATTCTATTTTCAACAGATATATCATATAGAAAGTGTAGATCAATGAGAAGAATCCAATGGCATTGAAAATGCTTGGAGTCATTTCTGTTACGTCCTGGAATATTCACGGCGGTATAGAAATATAAAGTTTAACGTCAAAGTTTTGTACGAAGATCCAACACACAATCATATAAGAGAAATGGTGTATCATAACCTGAAAAGGGAAAAAAAACTACGGGGTCTGGTCTAGTTTGAATGAATCCATTAGTGTTTATAGTCGGTTACAAATGAGGCTCTTCCTTAGGGGAAGGCCTTGGCTTGATGTAATAAATATACATCATATATAGTGTATTACATTATGAGAATTCAAAGAATCACTATTGACATGTTTGTTTGGTTGGCAAGACCATAGCTGGCAAGCAACGAAGGTTGAAAACACGTAGTCTGGTGACGATGGTCAGAGGGACTGTAGTCGGCGTGCGACAGTGGTCAATTGTCTGATGACAGAGGTCGGAAGTCTAACGATTGACGGAAGTCCAACGTTGGGCAGAAGCCCAACGAAAGTCCGGCAATGGAAAGAGGTCTGGCGACGGATGGAAGTCCTGCATCAGTCAATGGTCGAGCATAAGTCCAATGAAAGTCGGTGGCCGGGCAAAAAATTATCTTCAATTGGCGACCGTGAAGAAGTCAGGTGTCAGTTGGTGGCTGGGAAGAAATCCTGCGTCAGTTGGCAGCCAGGTGTAATTAAATCCAGCGTCAATTGGTGGCCGGGCGAAAGTTTGGGGTCATTTGGTGACCGGGCAGAAGTCCAACGTTAGTCGACGCCCGGGTGGAAGTCTGGTGGTGGTCGAGAAGGAGTTTGGTGGCAAGAAGACTCTCTTCTTTCTCTTATTTGCTTGGGCCCTTTCTTCCTCCCCCTTCCATGAAGAATGAGGGGTCTATTTATATTTTTATGAGAGTGACATATATAGCCTATAAATAGGAGGGATATCAAGGGTAATTTTGGAGTGGTTTGAATGGATGTCCGATGTTGATTCTCTCGATCATGGACCGTTTACTAGGCATTAGAATGTCTTAATAATATCAGAATTCGGCGATCTTGGGCTAGTTGGATTCGTCTCATCGAGCCACTCAATTCGACAATAAGCATGTCATGTTTGGAAGTTGTTTGATCATCTAATTTATGATTTGAACTTTCCAAACGCGCTTTAGGTCTTCAATTTGGACCCATCTGGGTTTGGATTGATTCAAATTTGGTGTCATTGGCTTCGTCTTTTCTAGGCGTTCAGTCCGACAATAAGTTTGCTGAAATATGATTTTAGATGATCCCATATTTAATTTTGGAAGTTTCCAACTTCATTTTGCCTCGAGATTCGTGCCCGATTAAGATAATTTTTTAATGCATGATATATCATATCAAAATCAAATACCAAAAATATTTAATTTAAACTTTACAATGTTGTATATATAGTATCAAATTCTCCAAATTTTCAAAATGCATCTCAACAAAATAAACATAACAAGTTCATTAAAACGCAAAAATATATAAAGAAAAAAAGGATATTATCGAACCATTGATGAAGCGTCCATAATTGTTTTTTAAAATGATCATAATGCCTCTTCTAATAACCTATAAAAATGCATATTTCTACACAATTTATGAAAAACTTCTTGGGGATATAATTGATAGACATAGAATTCTATAGCTTCAACTATCGTTTGGAACCCTATCATCTATCTTTGAGATTTGACTTATACGAAATCACCCTCTACCATTTTTGGTCACCTGACCTTTCCTTCAATTAGGAGGATAATCACATTGATTACCTTCAAACACCTAAATTCTATACTAGAGCCTCCCAACACCATTGAACGATGTTGATAACCATTATGAGTTGTCCATTGTCACTTGTCATTTGATGGCCATTATTGACCAACATCAATGACCACTATCACCTATCCTCAGATGACCTTTGCTGAAATACGCCAATGATTATAAAAAATCTGACATTTCAACAGTGAATGATAGCACCAGTTTTAAAATCATTTCTATAAAGAGGTATAAACATCAGTTTTAATCGTTGATAAAACCTTACTCTTTTTTTCTCATTCCCTACCCTAATCCCTACTCCACACATTCGAGCAAAATTCGACATTCAACTAGATTCACGTCTTAGACGCAAGAGGGAGGAAGTGAAAGGATGGTGAAGCTTCTCCTCTAGTCGGCGGTGGATAGTTGTGACAGCGGGCTAGTCGATGGGCTGTGACTAAACTCACGTGAAGGGGTGGATTGTCATGTAATTCCACCATTTCCACTGGTCTTCCTCGGCAGCAAACAAGATGGCTCTCCCGACTTCGCCAATCAACCCTCTCACCATCCTCAACCCTAAATCGTCCACCCCGAACTCCAATGCCGCCTCCCATTGCGCCACCTTCATTCTCTCTCAGTTCGCTAGGTCATGCATTAATTTTTTTAATCAATTCTATCCTTTAGCACCTGCTAAAAATGTTGTTAAAGCCTTCTTACAACAACACTCATAAAATCATTGTTAAAGCCTTTCCAACGAACACAAATACAACAAATTTGTAGATGTTCCTAAACCGCTGCATAAAAATTAGTTGGCGTTTAAACCGCTGCAGTAAGTTCTAAAAAGTGCTATGAAAGCCTGATTTATTAGTAGTATGACTTTTTTCGTCCGCCTATCATTGTCAGTTATTGACTAATGCCAACAAATAACAATCTTCATGCTTCAATCTTCCAAACCTATTTTTGCTCTCTTTTGCCTACCAACAACATAGTCATCTTCACCATCAACCAACATCGGCATTTATCACCATCAACTATTTTCCCTCAACAGTTGCTTTTCAACATCCTACACCACCAGTTTAAGAGATAATAACCCCTTAAATTTGGGCCTCTTAATCTCACAATACAATTTTCAACACATATAACAGAACTATTTCATATGAGTTATTTATGCCTCTTTTTTTTCATATTAAAATCATGTGTTTTCTATTAATTGTATGCAATGTTAAGGCTTGGTTTATGACAGCTTTCTTTCTTTTTTTTGAATTTTTCTTATTACTTTTTAAAACATCTTCATATTTTAAAAAATAATAAGAAAATCATCTAACCTAAATTAATAAATTCTCTCACTACTCATAAAATTTTAAGCATGCAACAACGCTATCTTTACTAGCCTTGGGGAAGTAGATATCCCACTAATCTTACGCATGATCAAGATAGTACCGAACGATATGACTTCCAAAAATTAGAGCAAAAAGAAGATTTCATTCAAAATAGGAGTTGCGAGACAAAACTTATAAAAATCAAAATAAAAGCGAAAACTATTGGAAGAATTCAACCAAATCTAATTATATTTCATCAACATGTTCTAAATTAATTAGAAAAAAAAAAAGAAGAAAACATAAGCGTAATATCTGAATCCTAGTTAATATCATGCTTGCTGCAGATGTCAAGAAATTTATTTTTAGAAGAGAAGACCATTAATTACTCCTTAATATAAAAACACCTCCAATATCTTCAATTCATGAACAACATCCATAACTATAGAGATAACAAACATCACATAATATAACAACCATCAACCAATCCATAACAAATCAACTAACATCACACATTCACTTGTAGCATATACGAGCAGTTGGCATAGTAACGCACACTGGAAAATACTTCTTCTTGGCCTCCGGTGTCCCACGCCTCGGCTCCTCCGCCACCGCCGCCATTTCAGGCACCGATCCTGCCGCCCATATGGCCGCCGCTGCCGCAAGCATAATTCCTCTCCTGGTGTTGCTCTCCTTCTCCTTGGGCTCTTCGATGTTGCTGGTCGTCGGCATGACCACCTTTTGGGAACAAACGGTCGTCTTTGCCGGTGCGAATTTGCGGCGGTCAGCTGATGATGGCCGGGCGACGGTGAGGAAGGAGGCGGTCATGGTGAGTGATGCCATCGTTAGCGGCGGATTGAACCTGATCTGTTTGTGTTTGATAAGCTTGACTGGGGAGAAGGTAAGAGGAGGTGATGAAGGGAAGTGGTGGTGAGTAGGATTATCTTATCTTGTTGTGTGATGAGATGGCCAATGGTAGGCAGCCACTTGGATTTTGTTTTTAGGGGATTTTAGGTAGGTGAAAATTGAAAATAGCTCCATATGCAAGAAAAAATGATATAAAAATAAGTTTTTTTATTAAAGAATATTAGTCATGAAAATTTAAAATCTTAATAAAAAAAATTCATTAATTTATATTAGTTAGGTCAAAATAAAATAAATATTTTAAGTAATTTTTTTTCTTTAATTTTTTTTCTCTTTTCCAGAAGTTTACTTAATTTTCTATTTTCTTTAATAATGAGAACTTGATGTGGATATTTTCTGACCGCTTGTAGGTTATCTTATCCTCTTACTGGATGAGATGGCCAATGACATGCACCCACGTCCCACGTTGATTTAGTTTGCGGTGGTGGCTTAAAACTTAAAAGGGTTCCGATCGGGAAAGTTTTTAGGATTGTTGTGTCTTGAAATATTCACTGAGATATATAAATATAAAATTTAACATCTAGGTTTAATAGGAAGATCCAACATACAATTAAATAAAAGATAAGATATAATATTCTTAAGAGACACTAGAGTTTTTTACGTGGAAATTTCTGAAAAGGAGAAAAACTATATGGTTTGACCTAGTTTGAACGAATCCACTAGTGCGTTTGCAATCAATTACAAATGAGGTCCTTTATTGAGAGGAAGGCCTTTATTTGATATAGCAAATATACATCTTACAAAGAACATTATACGGTGGAAATTGGAAGAATCAGTATTAACATGTTTGTTTAGTCGGCAAGATCATAGTAGGCGAACGACATAGGTCGGAAAGCTAGTGACAGAGGTCAAAAGGACCGTAATTGATGAAGGAGGTCGGAAGGACCATAGTCGGAGGGTGACGGAGCTAGGAAAGATCGTTGTCGGTGGGCGACGGAGGTCAAAAGGACAGTAGTCGGTGAGTGACGGAGGCCAGAAAGACTGTTGTCTGGTGACGGAGGTTGGAAGGACCGTAGTTGGCGAGTGACGAAGGTCAGAATGATCTTTGTTTGATGACAGAGGTCGAAAGGACCATAGTTGGAGAAGGAGGTCAGAATGATCGTGGTCGGCGGGCGATGGAGGTTGAAAAGACCTTCGTTGGGTGGAAATCCAACAATAGCTAGAAGCCTGGTGGAAGCCCGACGTTTGTTGATGGTTGAGCGAAAGTCCGGCATCCTTCGATGACTGGGTGGAGGTCCGGTAATGGACGGAAGTTCAACGTCAGTCAGAAGTCCGACGATTGTCGGTGGTCGAGGAGCAGCTTGGTGGCAAGAGAGATCTCATATTTTTGTTCCGTCTTGCTCTCCTTCACTTTCTTGCTTGGGCCCCTTCTTCCTCTCTTATGAGGAATGGAGGTAGAGTGACAAGACCAATAAATAATAAGGAGATCATGTGTAATTTGGGAGTTGTTTGAAATGATGGATGATGTTGATTCCCTTGATCATGAACAATTTACAGGGAATTTGAATGTCTTAATGATATTATAATTCGACGATCTTGGGATCGTTGGATTCGACTCGTCGAGCCGTTCGGTTCGACTATTAGAATGTCATGTTTGGAAACCGTTTGGTCATCCAATTTATTGTTTGAACCTTCCAAATGTATTTTGGGTCTTTGATTTGAACTCATTTGGGCTCGGATTGAGTCGAATTGGATATCGTTGGGTTGGTATTTTGTAGACGTTTATTTCGACTATAAGTTTTCATAAAACTTGATTTTTGAAAATCGGAGTTTAAATGGTCCCAAATTTAATTTTTGAAATTTTCAACTTGATTTTGCCTTGAGATTCATGCTCAATCAATATAATCTTTTGATGATATATCAAGGATTAATATTCTTATATATCACAAATGAATTTTGACATAAGTATTTAAATTAAAAATTTTAAGAATTAAATATTAAATAAATTATAGTAAAAATATGAATCTCAATTAGAAGCCCAAAATTTACTACTACAATAACAACAACAACAATAAGCTCAAAATTAGAAGATATCTGTAAGGAATCTGATTTTTAAGGAGGATTATAAATATCAAAATCATCATTATCAAATGGTATGTGGAGCTATGATCATCTGGTAATTATAATGATTAACAACAATGGTTACAGACTAATAATTGCCTGACATGGCATTTAAATGCGGTTCTAAAAGTGGCTGTAGCCCTTGGATGCCCTTGGATTATAATCTAAGGGCTGCAGGACCAGGAAAGATGAATTACATGTTTTTTTTTTTTGCATATGTGATCCTAAATATTCTAAATATATTCACATTTTTCAAGCAAAAAATAAAACAGTTCTATTAACAAATTAGAAAATTAGTACTGCAGCTTGCACTTAATTAGGAGAAATTATTACGTGCGATCATCGGACGGTCCGAAGGTCAATCAAGACGCGCCACATCATTCGATATACAGCAGTTCACAGTTACGATACACAATGTATTAGTAATGTGGCATATCATGATTGGACTCCGAACGACATCCGATGACTGCATATAATAATCTTTCCTTAATTAGAAACCAAAGGGTTCAAATCTTCTAAAATATTGAATGAAGATAGAAAATTCAAAATTTTAGAAAATAATAGCTAGAAGACGGCTTTCAGTCTAGGATGACTTTCTTATTGTATTATAGAGTATCTTTCTAGTAAAAAAATTTCTAGTTCAAAAATTTTTTGTATTAAAAAATTATTTTAGAAAACAATAATAAAATTGTTCCCAAGGAAGCCTAACTTTTTTTCCGAAAACACCTACCCATAATGCTCAAATCAATTAACATTTGAAGTCCATGCTACCTTTTTTTTTTTTTGACTAAAGTCCATGCTACCTAATGGCAAAAGAAAACTGGGGAAAAAAAATAATGTAAGCAGCTTTGTTATTTATTAATAAAATAACAATAAATCAAGGAGTGTAACACAAATAACACAATTAGTTATAAAAAAAACCACTAATATGTTGATAACATTACCATAAACATTATGACAAGGGAAGCTAATTAAGGTTTTATTTGGGACGGCTTTCTTATTGCTTCGTGAAGTAGCTTTTTAATATAAAAATTTTAATTTTTTACAAAAAAGTTTCTTCAAAAAGTAGTAATAAAGTCATCCCAAATGAAGTCTAAGAAGACAATAGACATTATTACCACATACAAATTAATTTTCTGATTTGTGCCAAATTCTTCTGCAATCAACCAGGTAAGAAAGCACAATGCAGTATATCCACTGAACAAGAAAATGGGTAATAAGCTCTAGTAGGTAATTATTAAAACCTTTCAAAGAAGTTCTTGAGATGGATTCAATTTGATGAAAACCAACCGAGAAATCTTATACATGCTAATTATTGAAATGAAGGAAGCAAGTTCTGTGGAATCTTGCGAGCAATTGATATCAAGAATGAAATTATTTGCTAATTGGCAGCTAAAGAAGATGCTCATCATCCCATATAAAAGAAAAAACAGGAAAATATCAAAACAAATATCACTTATAATCCCATATCTATCAATAAAATCTTATAGCACAGTTTACGCGTCCAAGGGAACTCTAGCATAAATTCTGTTTGCTATTAACTATCCATACAACTTCAAGGTACAAAACATACGCTCATTTTCTTCAATTTCCTGGAACTTTTTGTTCTTGGTGACCTTCAAGTTAAGGCAGGGTAGTTGTTGGGTAAAATCTTAGCTTATCAGAGCATTTTTAAGATGAGTCAATCAAAGTAAAACTAGCTATCAAATTAACAGAGAGAGAGCTTCACAATTGTAGCCAAATCAAGAAGAAATACTGTCAAAAGCATACAAGAAATCACAGGAAAATTATCTGGAGGAAGGAAAACACGCCAAAAAAAAAATGTAAAAATATATAAAATAAAATATTACCAATAAACAGAAGAATGTGGAACCATACAGTATCAGGTTTAGTATACTAGATGGTGTTCTCATATTCTTTTTTGGCTAATTTAAACCTTCCAGGAAACTAGGCTTCTGAAACATACAATAAACCGCTTTGAATGGCTAGGATTTCTTTTTTTCAAAATCACAAACACTTTGCCCTCTCCAACTACCATGATAACTGTAGAGAATTGCAAAAACTTCTTCAAGGCCCAAAACAATTCTTATTGTGCTGGTGGAATACTGAAGGTCTGCATGTAGCCCAATATACAAAGTTTACAACTTATTCTATTGGTGTAAAGCTGTTTCTAAATATTCTAAGAAAAATTATTATCCTTAAACATCTAACTATGAAACATAAGTAGTTAACAACTTGATTATCCTCATATTAAATATTTTGAGGATAAAAAGTTGTTTATTCTATGTAGTTGATCCTCATTTCTAAGGTTACAAATTTGTTAAAAATTCTTTCTTAGATATGTTTAAAGTGCTTGTCAGATTCTCCCAATTCCTGGCTCTATACCACTCTACTTTCTTATAGGTCACTTAGGCCCTATGTTTTATCTTTTATTTCCAGGATTCTCTATGGGATACGATGTATTGAACTATAAGCTACATATCAATAAGATGTAATCCCATTGTAATCATGCTCTGTATTGAACAATTGTGTCACTCCCCATCCTGATTGTATCATATGATGTAGGTTGATTTGGGATGGGGTGTCTGGTTGGAAGAGCCTCCTTCATGCTTTCCTCTATTGTCTTCGTAGCAAGGATGCCATGTATTAAGCATAGGAAGGGCCATCATTGTTCCTCATAACACAATCTGTAAGATTTGTCGTCACCTATGAAGCATGGACATGAAAACGAGAGTACGAACATGACAAAACATGGATACGATGACATGAAATAACTACAAAAGAGTAGAACACAACAAGTCATTGACATAACATTATATTCTATAAATTATTAATATAAAATATATAATTGTGGGATCCGAAAATTTCGCGCCCCGGCCTCTCCGTGTCATCTCTTTCTTGTTTGTTTATGTATGTGGGTGAGGAGAGTTTTAACGAGTTTAGGTTCCCGTGTAAATTTTCAAAATACATATTGGGTTTTAGATAAGACACTACCAAGATATTTCGCCCTCATTTTGCGAGGACTTTATGATCTAAGTTTTGGATTCCTATAGGCGCAAACCTCTGTACTTAATTACCTTTCTCAATAACGAGAGAACTTTCGATTAAGGCTAGTCGTAAGATTGATCAAATATGTTGCAAACACAGTGTATAATAGTATCAATTTTAAGGTTTGAGTTTGAGTTTAAATTTTGAAGTTTATCACCATATATTTAAAACAAGTGATGAGGTAAATGAAAACAAGCCCGTTCAAGATCTCATGGTTCCGTCATCCCGAGCTGTCAGGGTCCTTGGTTTACTTAGTCAGATGAGATAGTTGACCCAACTTGACAGAAGATACCCTATATGCAGTCATGGGTTGCTTCGTCCAAGAATACTTTGTAGACCTAAGATAGTGTTTATCTAAGAGGATATATTTGAATCCACCTTAGCTGACAGAGGACTTTATACCTATCGAGTATATCTTATGATTCATCATGCAAGAGTTTGACACCATTAGGAAATATACGGTCTTTGGCTGTGATCATAATATAATGATGCTATTTTGTGACAAAAACACCCAATCAGGTGGCACGTGCCATGTCACTGCTGGAAATAGACTATTTGAGAATGAATCTTAGTGATACACCTGACATGATATTCGCTCTTTATGAGCTGAGGTTAATTTCAAAGTTACCACACCAGACAAATGGTTGCGGAAAGTGGATGGATTTTAATTTTAAGTTTTGGTGATTATATTTTGAAGGTTTTATAGGCTTTTGAGAATTAAGTTGTATAGTTGAAATTTACTAGCAACGCAGTCATCACCAGGGTTGCAATGAATCACTTTTTAAAAGATTTATATTTTAATAAGAATTTGAAAGGCATGTTAAATGTTTGGGGTCCCATCCAGTTGAAATTTTCTATCAACACGACCATCATCGGGGTATGTCAAAGTTACTTGTATTTTCGTAATAATTTGTGAGACATTTTAAATATTTGGGGTCCCTCCGGCTCAGATTTTCTATTAACACAGCCATCATCGGGGTTACAATAAAGTCACTTTCAAAATTTTTATATTTTCATTGAGGTTTAAGTATTTTGAAAGACATTTCCCTTCGGTTGAGATTATCATTCAATACGGTCATCATCGGGGTTATGTCAAAGTCATTTTAAATTTATACATTTTCGTAACAGATTCCCCTCTAGTTGAGATTATCATTCAACACGACCATCATCAGGGTTACATCAAAGTCGCTTTTAAAATATTTGTATTTTCATTGGGGTTTAAGTATTTTGAAAGATATATTCCCCTCCGTTTGAGATTATCATTCAACACGAACATCTTCGGGGATTTAAGTATCCCGTTAAATTTATGATTAGGCATTTGTTTTTTAATCCAAGTTGTGTCGACTCCAATGTTTAAAATTGCGTATTCGGGTATTGAGGCGTTTTTCATTCGTGAGGCAAGGCGTAAGCCTTAAGGCGTTTTGAGGCATAAGCCTCAAAATCAAAAGATTGCGTAAACATAAAATGATAAATTTTTAATATACTAATGAGTGAATAATATAAAACATAAAAATATATAAGATATGAAGTGAAATCAAAATATCTCAATAATAAGACAACATGAAATATAGTTCAACTCAAAATTCTATCTTTCCCAAATTCCTGTATTCTTTTCATTAACATATAATTCAAATTTCCAAAAATAAATAGCAATGACATATCACATAAGAACTCATAAGTCATCAGCATTGTCATCACTAAGGGATTCTTCATTTGAATCATCATTATGGTGAACTTCTCTCTCCCCTTCCTCCTCTCCTATAGAGTCCAATGTTGGGCATTTTACTTCAAGATTTATGTAAGTTTTAATATATATAGCATGAGGCTTCCAGTGAGGCGAGGTGGGCCTCAACCAAGTTGAGGCGCAAGCCTCATAAAAAAACTCGAGGCGTAAGCATCGATGCGCTTTTTACTAGAATTGCGCAATTTTAACCATGGTCGACTCCAGTCCTTTTAAGAAGAAGGATGAAACTTGAATATTTGACTCGCGCAGCATCCTCGGACCTCTGAATTAAGATTTTAAAGCAACGGTCGGTGCACATGCAGGATATATTTCAGTGTATAGATTGGAGCTATTATAGAGATATCGTCTTTTATCCGCTTGTACAAGTGTTGCGAATCCAGTGGCATTATCCAAACCTCCCTTTTAATGATTTCTTGCATCCTTATCAGTTACAGTTGGAGTCAAGTATTGAAAGATTTACATCCTTATCAATAGGTTGATTCTTGACTCTAGTTCACTTGCGTACAATCAAATAGATCATTGTCATATTATATTTATAGATATCCTGAATCAAAAAGTAATCATCAAGCTTCTAGTTATCGTGGTATAACTTTTAACTTTCTAGATCAACAAGATCCTTGCTCCTTCTCATGTATTCATGATATACATCTTTTTAACGGAATGATGGGTAATTATCATGGAAGAATGCTTAAAAGAAGCTATGTAAGGCTCTTATTAAGATGCTAATAGCACATGAGTGGTCTAGTGTATTTGAGTCAAAGGAGACATCTCAATATCTCATGGCATTGACACAATTCTTTAAATTAACCTCCTCAAAACTATTGGTTGTCAAAAGAAAGTTCTTATAATTATCAGATACAACCCAAAAGTGAATGTTATATGCACAAGAAATGCAAGGATGTGAATAAAGCAACATCTTCCATCAAATGGTTAAGTCAAAACTATTATTGACAACCTGAAGAATGCCGTATATATCTAATGGATAATAAAATAACTCTTGTACATTAGAATTCATTAAAAAAAAAAAAAAAAAAAAAAAAAAAAAAAAAAAAAACTAGCTACTATAAAAGGCTTATACAATAGAAAGATAATGTTATTGAGGTTCTTAGTTTGAATGGTGTTTTCTCAAAACTCTTAAAGAACTAATTCTAATCATACATTGCTAAGACATGAGAAGATGTATAATAGATGTTTTCAAGCAAAGACTATAGTAACATGATTTTGATTTGGCTAAAAGATGCATCAAATCAATATGCTTTGATCTTATATTATCTCAAAATTGTATATTTCAAAATTCCTCTTGAGTAGTATATTGAATTCAAAGTAAATTGTTAATTTCCTTCAATTCTAGAAACAGGTTGTGTCATTGCCATTAACACAATTTACATTGTCAAATTTAGATTGACTTAACATTATTTTCTAGTTTGATTGTCACAGACAATTATCTTATAAGCCATTATTAGGTGCACTATCATTATTTTAACAACTTATGTAAATTGAAACATTTTATCCCTCTCATTTTTATATGTTCCAATTGATTGGAAACTCCTGCGCGACTTGATAGTGTAGACCCATTTTCTTCCTTTTCTTTTTCTAATTTATTGGAATGACAATCAATTAATTATATATATATTAAATCATTTAAAATGATAAATTTTGTTTGAAATTAATCATGTTGGGAGTCGTTTTTTTGTTCAAAATTTCGGTAACCTCCCGACTTCCCCTCCCCACAAAGGGAGGCTGGGAGGCACTTGCCTTTAATTCTACCATCCCAGATCTAAGATACAAAGGTGTTGGGTCTTCACATTAGCAATCATTCCATCAAAATCTATGATGCAGCTGCGTGGGGCCTTCAATTTAAAAGATCTTCATGCCCATATCAAAGATCAATTACGCAAGGGATTCTATTTGCTTTCTTACCGGCCAGATCTAAGATCAACAACATGAGGGCTTCAAGTTGCATATTCCTGGCTAGATATAAGAACAATAATGCAGGTCCTTGATATCTGTTCAAAAAATTCATGTATATATATATATATATATATATATATTACAGAGAGAAAGAGGAAGGGAGATGGATCAGACTCGACGGCTAGGGTTGGCGCATGCGCTGCAGCGGAGAATAAAGGTAACGGGCTAGGGCTGCAATTGGGTTCGAAGTCGGAGGCGGGTCGGTGAGGACAACGTGGTTCGACAGTGCGGAACAACGCTGATAGATGTTGGCTTCGGCACAGGTGGTGTAACAGCCCAAAATCTTAACTATCGAGATATTGTCCGCTTTGGCCTAAGAGCCTCACGGTTTTGTCTGGTTGGTGTAACCTCTCAGTAGGTCACCCATCCCAGAATTACTTTGGGATGAGCACGCTTAACTGCAGAGTTTCTTACAAAAATTTTAACCATTATATTAAAAGGCGCTTCGATATTTAAGAGTTAGCTTTCATTTACTTAAGAGTTTCACAATGGTGGAGCATCAATGAATACTTGCCCTTATTTGTTAGTTGGTTGTTCTTATGTCACCTTCATTTGATCTTCTCAACTTCTCAAATTTATGCATAAGATTAACATCATTGATCCCCTCCAACTAAACAGTATTTCTCAAGATAGTTTCATATTCATGAGAATTTCCTAGTATGATGGGATTGCTACTCTTATGGTTGACAAACATCTTAACATGCGAGTGGAACCTCTTGAGGAGAGGCCGAACTTACTGCCCATAATATTACTAAGGCTTCATTTGGGACGGCTTTCTCGCTGCTTCTTAAAGCAGTTTTTTAGTACAAAAAATAAAATTTTTCTACTAAAAAGATGCTTTAAGAAGCACTAAGAAAGCCGTCTCAAACGAAGCCTAAATTAAAAACTTCACTCTTATTTTACTTCCAATTAGAAATATTCTCCACTCTTATGTGCGTTTTAATAATCTCCCCCCACACATGACTGTCCTAGTCATTAAACAAAGAACTAGTGAGAGAAATTTAAAAAAAGGGTAGAAGCCCAACTAAAACATCACTATTCTCTGCTTTCATTAAAAATAAAATAAAATTTAGATAAGTTTACATGTATACAATTGTTTCCAGAAGTAATCAGCACAAAATGACTAATAAAAGGCATGAAGAAATTGAATTAGGAAAAAAAAAAGGAAAGAAAAAATAGAGACAACTTCATCCATCAACAGATGGATATACACAATCTAAAAATAGCATCATTCAGTTATTTTTTTGGGTACCTACTGATCCTCTGCAACACTACAGTCCTCGCCTTCCTTATATCTCTGCTACAACGATCTGCCTGCTCGCTCAAATCATCAATGCTATTCATGAAATCGCCCAGCTTCTTCTTAATTTCTTGAACCCCAACCTTCACAGCCTCCTCATCCTTCGAAGCAAATTCTGCGAACTGCAGCAGAGAACTAATCTGAATCTCCAAATTATCAACCAAAACTCTAATATTATCCAAATCCTTGATGGCTACAAAGGTTCCAGCCTGCATAGAGCTGATCACCTCCTTCTCCCCCCTCAGTGCATCCTCGTGCTTCTTCATCAACGAATCAAACCATTTCCCCATCGATCCCACCGGTATCGATGAGGCAGCGGCCAGAGCTGCGGCCACCGGAGGCGCTGCCACAGCAGAAGCAACAACAGAGCAGATGAGCACAGAAGCAAAAGCTGCAGCAAAAATTATGAAGGAGATCTTCCTCCAAGCTTTGACAGACTTGAGCTTTTTGTCAAGCTTTCGCTTCCTGAGCTGGAGTTTCTCCAGCATTAATAGCTGCTGCTTATAAACGGCCTGAAACTCTTTGAAGAACTCTTCAGTGAAGGGATCACCAGCATCTTTGAACTGCCTCAGATGTTCCAATGTCCTTTCATAATGAGGCTCCTCCTCGAATCGCTGAAGAGCAAATTGGATTAGGAGCTGGGAGTCGCGGGCACGATTGAGGCAGCGTTCGAGTGCCGTGCAGAAATCTAGGGTTTGGAGGCTGTTTTCGAAGTAATCCTCGACGAGTTGGAAGAGCTCAGGGGTTTTCCAAATATCCTTTTTGCAGTCGAGAATGATCTTGACAACCTCCTGGTTCATTTCGAGAAGGCAGCCGGTGACCTCTTTGAGGGAATCAAAGGAGAGAGAGTAGACCTCGACGCCATCGGCGAGGGTTGAAAGGGCTCGTGTCATTTTTTGATGGAGACTCATGTCGAAGCTTCGGAGATCGGGGTCGCGCCGGCAAGCAACCTCGTAGGAGTTTAGCTCCACCCTGTAATGTAGCTTCTTCTCTTCAACAGCGGTGGCAACAGAAACGCCAGGGATCGGAGACTCGGCACCCTTACTGAGTTGACAACCCATCAAAAAAGGCTTGGATTTGCTAACAAGATCTTAACTTTTTGGTATAGGGAGAGATACACCGAGGATTGGAGCAGAAAATGTGAAGATTTGGAGGCTTAGGGCACGGGGCAGGCTTTAAAAAAGAAAGGGAAGGAAATGTTAACAGCTTGTGATGCAGAGATCGCTTGCACGCATGAGATATCGAAGGAGTTAATTTTAGCAGAGGAAATAAGCCAGGTGGTGAGACCGTGAGACGGCAGGAAGCGCGGGAAGCAACTTCTTCTACTCTCCCTCTGCCTTTCTCGATAATTATTGGATGCCAGATGAGATAAATTATTACACGCTTTTCCATGCAAATATAGTCTTAATAATTACCTGTACACATTAAAAATGCATAATATGTTTTATTTCTTAAAAAATTATATAAAAACAAATTTAATATAGGACAAAATTTAACATTTTTTTCAATTTTTTTTTCAAATTTTTACCAAATTAATGTTACTCAAATGTATAATATTCTTATATTATGGATGATCCATCTAATCTTTTTTTTATGATGTTTTATTGAATTATATTTATTATGTTATCCGTATTAAAAATCTTCACACCTCTTCATGTATGTTGATGACCTTCTTATCATAAGAAAAACTATTTTTTATAATTTACATGCTCTAAAAGACATTTTCAATGACCTTTTTGGAGCTCTTAAGCCAATGGAAAGCTCTATTATTTTCTCCAAACATATTTCAAATCAACATCAACTCAATTAGGTGCTTAATATTCCTATTTTTTATTTTCATTTTTTAAGTGCTTAATATTCCCAATGCAAATCATTTTACCACCAACTTGGGTATTCCCATCTTTATCAAGGAACTTCTCACATATGATTACACACCTTTAATTGGCAAAGCATCTATGTTGTTTGATGGTTAGAAAGCATAGTCTCTCTCATTTTCAAACAGACTTTAATGTCTAAAATTCACCATGTGCAAAACTATTGTCGATTGGATCTAAGGAACTATCTTACCTAAAAGTCGATGTAAAATGTTTAATAAACTTGCTATGTTCTTATTTCATAGGGATCACAATATCAAAAATATTCACCTAAACTCATGAACTACTACTTATAAGCCTAAGAAGTTTGGAGGGTTTGGTCTTCCTACTTTTTATGCTTTAAATTTTTCCTATTATCCTTTGATATGAAGAATATGACATTCTAATAACCTACTTGCTAAATGGTGCGCGGGTAAATAGGGGGTCTCTGTAAAGGTTCTCATGACAAATGCTCAAATTATTGGGAAAGCCCTGAAAAAGAGGATACCACTATTAAACCTTATATCACTCACAAAATTCATGATTGGGGCCCCTATTATTGGATTCCTAATGTGATGGTAAAACCTTATATGAAATTAAATGTATATATTCTTTCTTATCAAATGAATATCAACGCTTCTATTTCATTGCTTATTCTTAATGGGGTATGGCATAACCCTTAGTTTATATCTACTACTATTTTTGAATCTATAACTAAGGTGCATATTTATGCTACTTTTGAAGATGATTATGCATGGTGGTTGGGCATATTATTATTATTATTATTATTATTATTATTATTATATATATGAAAAAAAAATTTCTAGTTGTTTACTTATAAGTTTGTCCCTCCTGAAAATTAAGGCCGGTTCCGCTCCTAGTCCAAATTTTGAACTTTTTGCTGACATGCAAAATTCTTTGCCACTATATAATAATATTTTTATGTTTATCATTTATTGTGTCATTTACTATATATTAAGAGAAAGAAATGAAATGAAGTTTGGGAAGAAGATTAATTGCATATCCACACTATCTCAAATTATCAAAAAGGCCATTGTATATAGTTGTGACCTACAATGTTGGTTTTGTTTTGCCTTGATTGTGATGAACGGTCTCCTTTTGCTAGCAGCCCATGGACAGCCATCCTAGCAACTGGGATTGCTATGTGCTGCCTTCTAACTTCATGATCTAGATTTGATTAATTTTTTGTGCTTATGAGTCAAGATTTTTATGTTTATCAAGTACTTCTATCTGCACTCACATTCATACATCGCCAAAAATTACTTTAATCCGGTACGAATCTCGAGGTATATTCTACTTGGCAATTTTTAAAATTAAATTCAGGATCATCCGAACTCCAATTTCAGCAAACTTATAGTTAAACTGAACGCCTCAAGGAAATGAATCCAATGACACCAAAATCGGTCCAAACCGATCTAAATGGGTACAAATCAAGAGATCGAAGCACATTTGAAAGCTTAAAAGCATTAATTAGATGACCAAATGATATCCAAATATAGCATGTTTATAGTAGAATCGACTGGCTCGACGAGACGAATCCAACAAGTATAAGATCGCTTAATTTTGAAATCATTAAGACACTTAAATATTGAATAAATGTTCTATAATTAAGATTATTCGATTAAGCACTCTGAATCGGCCCTGAATCTTCTCCATACTTATGGGGCATACCGCTTCCAAAATTAGATAAATAGAACACCTCTTCCTACATGAAGAAGGGGCTTAGATCTTTCAAAAGTTTAAACTTTTGGCTAAAGATTGAAGAGATCTATAAGGCTTTAAGGATCTTAGAGTTCTGCCCAAAAAGCACCGCCAACGAACTTCTGTCAACCACCACTAGATCATTGCCCGGCCATTAACAGTAGTCAGGCCACCACTAGTGTGCCCATCACCGTCAGTCCTCCGCCCGGCCACAAACAACACTAGGACCTCAATCTAACCACCTTTCGACACACTACATTAACCTCAATTACTTGTCGAGTACGGTCCCTCTGACCACCGTGATTCAACTACGATCCTTCAGACATCCATCGCCAACCGAATATGGTCCCTTCGACCTTTGTTGCAAGCCAACTACGGTCCCTCCAAACACCATCGTCCATCGACTATGATCCCTCCAACCACCGTCGCCCACCGATTACAGTCCATTCGACCACCATAGCTTGCTGACTACCATCCCTCCAACCTTCATCGCCAACCGACTATGGTTCCTCTGCCCTCTGTTGCCCACCACTGTAGTCCCTCCAATTATTATTGCCTACTGACTACGGTCCCTCCAACTATCATTACCCGCCGACTACGATCCTTCCATCCACCGTTGCCCGCCGACTACAATCCCCCTCCGACCACCTTCGCCCGCTAACTACAATCTCTCCGAACACCATCACTCTCTCACTACAGTCCCTCAGACAACCATCGCAAGCCCACTATAGTCCATCCGACCTCTGTCATTTGCCCACTATGGTCCCTCCGAACATAGTCGTCCGCCTACAATCTTATAAACTGAACAAATAAGCAAGCACTCTCTTGAAAATAGCTATCAATCCAAAATATGTAATATGTTCTATATGATATACATTGAGCCAATGTCTTTCCCCGAGGAAGGGCACCATTTGTAATCGACTACAAACACTAGTGAAATCATTTTAACTAGGCCAAACCCAATGGTTTTTTTTTTTTTTCCTTTTTCAAGATTTTCCATTAAAAAATCTTATTCTCTTATGACAATTGCACATCTCCCTCTCATATGTCTGTGTGCTAGATCTTCGTTCAAAGTTAAGATGTTAAGCTCTTTATCTCTCTACTACCGTGAATATTCCGGAAGCAACACACATATTTCATTTTTTTTTTTAAGTATTGCTAATTTTTTGAGTAGTTCAACGGCTTCTTTCCAAATTATGTTGAGTTGTAATTGTCCTCTATAATCATGCTTCAATATAAATGAATGAACTTTGCCCTCAATTTATCTCAAAACATACATATTTATATGCATGCATTTTCCAAATGTCTAAGCGCATGGCGTGATAGATATGGCATATGCTCATAGTAAGAATCGTCCGCATAGTATAAGTCATTCATAATTTTTCGATATAATTTTATTTGAGTGTTATATAAGTATATATTAATTTTTATTTGTTAGATATAAAAATATATATAAGAATTGCATGCGTGTGATATGTTTAAATTCTCATATTTTTATACGATTTTAAATTCTAAAGTACATCAAAATATATGCATGAAAAAATATACTTTATTTTAAATAAGCTATTTTTAATTATATTTTTTTATAATTTAGGGTAATATATAAGTGAATATAAAAAACTTAAGTATTTGATATGTCATTACATCATTATTTTGTGGTATATATGTAATAATATTTCAAAAAGGTCAAATTAAGTGCAAAATTTTACATAATTTTTAGAACCCAAATAGTTAAAATTTAGATCCAAATAATATTTAAAATTATTTCAAAGGTTATATGAATATCCATGTATGATAGAGCTGCACCTTGCACATTTCTTTATCTAAAGCTTTATTTGAATGACTTTTTTAATGTTTTTTAAAACAGATTTTTAATATAAAATTTTTAAATGCCCAGAAATATTAGATAAAGAGTTTTAATTTATTTTAATATTAATATTATACAAAATTTAATTAATATATATTCATATATTATATTTATTTAAAAATAAATTCCATAACTATATATGACTGTCACCCTATCCAAATTTCTCTACAATCTTTATATTGCTAATAGAAAGAAAATCTCATTTGATGAATAGAAATTTTCCATAATGAATACTGCTTTGATGATTCCATTGTTTTTTTTTTTGTCTGTAGTGAAAGAGAATCTCATTTTAAACGTGAATTTATTTGAGTACATCATTATCTTTGAGAGAAGCCACAGTAAATAAATAGATAAAATACTAATAATTATGAATTTATTTTAATTTAATAGCCATTGATTTGTTCTTTTTATTTGTTTTATTTGAATTTACAACATCCTAGCACAACCAAGAAGCAAGCACTCCATTGTTATTATAAATTTAATGCTTGTGGGATATTAACTCAGCTTCATTTGAGATAGTTTTCTCGTGAGTTTTTAAAGTAGTTTTTTAATAATAAAATTTAAATTAAAAAATTTTATATTAAAAAATTATTTTATAAAACAGTAAGAAAGCTGTTCTAAAAGAAGACCCATTCCTCCCACCATAAAAAATGTTTATTTAAGTTCACAGGTTTAGGCTCTATTTGAGATGGATGCACTGTTCTATAAAGTTGGTTATGAAATTATTGTGAAGAAAAAAACTTCGTTATTATGATTACATAAATCATATCTTTTTATCACAAAATATAAACAAACATTGAGAAAATAATAAGAAATCAGCAAAAAATAATAATCAAATGAAATTATTGTTATTGTTTGCAAAACAAAACAATCAAAAAACTATCCCAAAAGAAACCCTTAATAAATATCTCATTATGCTGCAATGCTCTACCAAAAGAATCACTACCT